ACATCGATGGGTGCAAACCATAACCAAGGAGAGAAGGCTGCTGCAATCTCAGAGATAAAAGCAAAGACACAAGGGCTCATGGGAAAAAAAGAGAAAGACAGAAGGAGCTGAGGAGGGAGTTGCCATGACTCAAGATCACATCGCAAGCAGAGGAAAAAGGTAATGCCTGCTGCAGAAAACAGCTAGGAAAGAAGCTTTACAAAAACCCAACAGGGATAGGGGCAGTGGTTCATGCCCATAATCCCAGCACTTCGGGAGGTCAAGGCAGGAGGATCACATGAGCCCAGGAGTTCAACACCAGCCTGGGCCAGTGAGACCCTGTCTCTACAAACAATAAAAAAATTAGCTGGGTGTGGTGGCATATGCCTACAGTCCCAGCCACTTGGGAGGCTAAGGTGGGAGGATCTCTTAAGTCCGGGAGGTTGAGGCTGCAGTGAGCCGTGATTACGCCACTGCACTCAACCTGGGCAAAAGACTGAGACCCTGTCTCAAAAGAGTTTGTTAGTCATTCATGCTACATTTCCAGTGTGGGTAAGGTGCAGGGGGCTCTGCTCACTGTAGTGATCCAGGCTGATGGCGCTGCCACCACCTCCACTCTGCCAATTACTGTGCCAGTGGGAAAGAGCGCTCTGGAAGACCTCACACCACATTTAAACACTCTGACTTGAAAATGGTACATATAAGTTTTGCTTACATGGCCCCCAGCAACCATGAGGGGACAGGGAAGTACAATCTTACCGTGTAAAAGGAAATTGGAGAGCTAGACATATTTTAAAACAGCATTAATGACCATCACATACCTAAAGGAGAGAAAGCATTTGGCTGACTTTAAGATTTTTCCCTATATAGATATTCAATGCAAAAGAGAATAACATATCATCTATAAACCCCTAGGTGGGAAAAAGTTTCCTCAAGAATTCTGCACCCAGTGGGAAAGATGATGTAGAACATGATTCCAGATTCTGCTGAGGATACAGAAAGCTAGAAAGAACACTGCCCCACTGTTACAACAACAACAAGACATTGGGTTCTGCAAACTCCCAGCTTAAGTTGAACCCATCAGACAGCTGAGGTCACAGGGCAGCAAATTCTAAGGAAAAGACAGAGTCTCCAAGGAGAGACACGAGCACTTACCTACGGTGGATGCAGTCAGACACCACCAGCTCCAGTGGAAAAGCTAGGCAAGATGCAAGATCACCGAGGTAAGGTAGCAGAGAGATGGAAGCAATGAGGAGGAGTCAAATGCAAACACTAGGAATGAAAAACAGGCACAGAGATGAAGAATGCCTTTGACAGACCGGGTCAGCAGTGGACTGGAAACAGTCGAGGAAAAAATGACCAAGTGGGATTTATCTTGGGAATGCAAGGCGGACTTACCACTCAAAAGTCAATGTTATTCACCATTTGAGTGGACTCAAGAAGATAAAGTACAGGAACATCTAGGCAGATGCAGTAAAAGACTGATAAAATTCAACGGCCATTAGTGGTAAAAATGAAAAACAAAATACCACTCTCAGCAAACTAAGATTAGGAGGGCACTTCTGCCACCTCATAATAAACATCTACGAAAAACTTAGAGCTAACATTATACTTAATCCCTAAAAGCAGGAACAAGACGAGGACATCTGTTCTCACCACATCTATTCAACACTGTACAGGGCAGTCTGGTCAGTGCAATAAAACAGGGAAAAGAAATAAGAGGCATCCGGATTGCAATGTGTGCTGGTTTATTTTAGGTGTCAACTTGACTGGATGAAGGACACTCGAGAACTGGCAAAGCATTATTTCTGGGTGTGTCTGTGAGGATGTTTCCAGAGGAGATTGGTGTGTGTCTGTGGACTGAGTGGGGAAGATCCACCCTCAATGCTGGGGGGCACCATCTGATTGGCGGGGGGCCTGGCTAGAACAAAAAGGCAGAGGAAAAGTGAATTATTTTCTTTTTCTCTTCTGGAGCTGAGACACCCTGTCTTGCCCTTGGATATCAGAACTCCAGGCTCTCTGGCCTTTGGACCCTGGGACTCACACTGGCGCGACCCCTCCCCCCGGGTTCTTGGCCTTGGACTGAGAGTTCCACCATTGGTTTCCCTGGTTCTGAGGCCTCTGGACTTAGACTGAGCCAAACTCCCAGCTTTCCAGGGTCTCCACCTTGCAGATGGGCTGTCATAGGTCTTCTTAGTTTCCATGGTTATGTCAGCAATTCGTTCAATAAATTATCTCTCACCTATCTATATCTGTCCTATTGGCTCTGTTTGTCTGGAGAACGGAAGATGTAAAATTGCCTCTCTTTGCATAGCACGTGACTGTCTACATAAGAAAATCCAAAGAATCTGCAAAAGAGCTACCAGAACTATGTGAGTTTAGCAAGACCACAGGATAAAAGATTGGTAACAAAAATCAAATTTCTGTATGCTAGCAGTGAATAAGAGACCATTAAAAAATACCATTAGGATAGCACCCATAAATGTGGAGTACTTTAAGCATAACTATTACAAAATATGTTAAGATATATATACTGAAATTTACACAAGGTTGATGAAGAAAAGATACACTGGAGAAATGAAGTATGACTTAAATAAATGAAGAACTATATCATGAATACATCCAGTCTCTTCAAAGTGATGTGTAGATTCCATGCAATCTCAATTAAAATCCCAGCAGGATTCTAGTAGAAAATGAACAAGTGGATTCTAAAATTTATATGGAATTACAAAGGAAATGATAGCCAAGACAATTTTGAAAAGCAACAAAGTTGGACGACAGCAATAAACAGATACTCACTTCCAATAGTCCCTGGTCCTCTTGATCTCAGATGAAAGTCAGTCCCTGCCAAGGCCATTGCTCCTTGCACAGGTCCTCAGGTAGGGGACAGGGGCAGGCTGTCTCTTCTCCTACCACCTAAGCCACTGCTGCCACTTCCAGACCATTGGCCTCGCACCTTGATCACAACTCCTGTCTCCTTTGAGCCTCCTGCCACCAGTTTTGATAGTTCCTACCTCCAGGTAGGCTTTGTACACAAATTCATTAAGGAGTTTAAAATGGTGTGGTTTTTCTTTTGCTATCGACTCTTACCAGTGTCCCGGGCAATCTGAATACCCATGGGGATGTGCCATGCATTCAGCTAGGCGCCCAGCCTTCCCTGGAACTTCTGGACTTCAGTGGCCTTTACTCCACGTCGTTTTTGCCACCTCATACCAAGGGCTTTTCTCACCAATGTACCAGAACAGTGAATAAGAGCGAGACCGCGAGGTCACCAGCTCCACTAGACCTGAGACTGCATTCTTACAGACAGTGTTGTTTCTTTACCAGCATTACCTTTCAAGTCACAGTCACCACTGCAGGGGCTGGAGAGTCATGAAAACCGGGTCCTACGTCCCATGAGTGAAGGCCTTCAAGGAGAATGCCAGCACCTTAGAGGAGCACACTGAACACCCTGACCAGCCAGCTGAGGAACGGGAGGTAACATGAGGCCCAAATGCATCTTCATACTCAAGAAGATACCTCCAGGTTGAAGAAGAGACTTAGTAGTTGTCAGAATGAGATCGCAGAGTGAGCAATGGCTACCCGTGTCCCCTCCCAGGAGAGCTGAGAAAGGCCATGGCAGACCTCAGGCACTGACCCAGGCAGGCCCCAGGATGCAGTGAGGTAGAAATGTGGGCGTAGGTAATGTGGGCAGCATGAAATACCTGGTCCCATGATGGGATGGGCTCTGGAGTGCTGCAGTCCTGGTTTCCTCCAACCCCGCTGCATCTGTCACTCTGGTGAGCTGCTAGGACCGCTCACCTTGGACCATTCCTCCATGCAAAACATGGCAGGTGCTGTGAGCCAGGTGCAGTCCTACCACAGAGAGGAGCTGCATCCTCTCTCTCTGTACATCTTTGCTTGTCTACCAGCTGCTGACCACCCATGGAGGACTAATCACAGGCACTCAAGGTCAACGCTTTCCTCTTCTCCCCAGATCCAAGGTGGCTCTCTGCAGTTTCCCATCGCCTGCATACTGCATTCCCTACACACACGCTAGAACCCCTCCATACTGCAAACACAATTTTACCACCAGCTGAGAGTTCCTTGGACTGTGCCACATATTTTTATATTTATTTATCCTTTTTTTTTTTGAGACGAAGTCTTGTTCTGTCACCAGGCTGGAGTGCAGTGGCTCAATCTTGGCTCACTGCAACCTCTGCCTCCCAGGTTCAAATGATTCTCCTGCCTCAGCCTCCCAAGCAGCTGGGGCTGCAGGCACCCGCCACCACACCTGGCTAATTTTTATATTTTTAGTAGAGAGGGGGTTTCACCATGTTGGCCAGACTGGTCTTGAACTCCCAACCTCAAGTGATCCGCCCGCCTCAGCCTCCCAAAGTGCTGGGATTACAGGTGTGAGCCACTGCACCCGGTCTGTGCCACATCTTTTTAAAAAGTTTTGGCACAGTTTTATTCAGGGGAAACAGAAGAATTGGGTTCACTCTTCTTACGTATTTTTAAGTAGCCAATTTTGCTTTTCAGAATAAAACATTTGGAAGAAAAAATAAAATAATATAAACAATTTTTCCAAATCACTTTTTTTAAAAGATCAGATGCTACACATGAGAACAGACTGCACGGGAGACTGTCTGATTTTTTTTTTCCTCCAAAAATCTTTTAAAAAGCAAAATAAATCCCTATTTGTTCCCTGATGGTATAACAGCCAAAAGTGTCAGAAAAGCCATAGAATGCCTCCCATCCGCATTTGTAAAGACTTCTTTCAATCATTTGCATCCGACTTTGCAGATGTCAGAGGTAGGACAATGAAATGGCAAAAATGCAAAGCGAGATCCAGAAAGCAACACCTTCAAAATCAAAATCTGTAATCCTTTCAAATGTTCTCTGGAAAGATATTCCCTCTCGCATTGAACCTACCCCAGGAAGTTAAGAGCTGAAAGGAATCTATATGATAACAAGGCTTCCTAAACTGTCTGTAAGGCATGGGATGAAATGCATGCACAAGCAGCGCCCAGCGGGGTCACCTTCAAGGTCAGCCTCACAGCGTTGCAGTTCTCCTGCAGCGGGTTCAGCTTCAGCGTCTCCCCGAGGTTGCTGCAGCCGGACGACTGGTGCTGCAGCTCACAGCAGACACACACCTCCACACTGTCAAACTTAATCTAGACAGAGGAACACAGACAGACCCCACCGTTAACAGGCATTCAGCCCCTGAGGGTACGCGTGAGTGACACAATTCAGAACACAGGAAAATGGCTCAGTTCAAAAGAGCCTGTTTCAGTGTGTTTAAGTAGTAGAGCAAAAACAATTTCTATTGACCCAGGCCCTTAGGAGGACTTCAAATTCCTATTTTAAAAAGCTATGTATAAAAAAGTAAAAGTACATTTGAAGAAACTTAAGCTACACATTAGAGAAAATGGCAGGTGGATTGCAAAGTGAGATAAAGGTCAATAAACTGAAAATCACTCACGCTGATGTATGCACTGAGATGTATTATCCTAGCTCTGTGCCTTGGCTCATTCTCCTTCCATAGTCAGAAATTTCCTGCCTCACTTCATGGCCTATCAAACTCCTGCTCATCCCTCAAGACCCAACTCCAGCGCCATCCTCGAGGCCTTGTCTGGTTTTCCTGCCTCACTGCTACTGAAGACTGACTTTATCCAGCTACAAGTGCATCTTATCACCACAGTATTGACAATGGCAGTAAGTTGTAGGTGTTCAATACATGTTGAATGAATAAAACTGGCTTGCAAAATGGAAAACCATGGAAGGGAAAAACAATGCATTTCAAGTATTTGAAAAAGCAGTGTTAGATGAAAACAGAGTATGAGAATCTCAGTGAGAAGGAAGGGAACAGAGTTACCAGTGTCTAGGAGAAAAGCAGCTTTAGAAAAGTCAAGTCCTAGCCAGGTGTGGTGGTATGCCACCTGCATTCACAGCTACTCAGTGGGCCGGGGCAGGAGCATCGCTTGAGCCCAGGAGTTTGAGACCAGCCTGGCTAGGCAACATATTGAGACCCTGTCTCAAAAATACATAGCTAAAAAATCATAAAGTCTTAGGTGTAAAACTACTAAAAAAGAAAATCAGGCCAGGTGCGGTGGCTCACGCCTGTAATCTCAGCACTTTGGGAGGCTGAGGCAGCCAGATCACGAGGTCAGAAGTTCAAGACCAGTCTGACCAACACGGTGAAACCCCGTCTTTGTTAAAAATACAAAACCTAGTCGGGCATGGTGGTGTGCATCTGTAATCCCAGCTACTCAGGAGGCTGAGGCAGGAGAATTACTTGAACCCAGGAGGTGGAGGGTACAGTGAGCTGAGATCGTGCCATTGCACTCCAGCCTGGGTAACAGAGCAAGACTACATCTCAAACAAAAAAAATCAGTAAAATCTATGCAATTTTATTCAAAATAACACTGAACATGAAACAAGTTATTTTCCTTAGACTAAGAAGTGACCTACTTTCCAACAGATAATATGTTTACAGCAGCCAACTCAAAGTACAAATACTTTTCAGGCAAATATTGGCCATTTATAACTGTAACAAATAATTTTTCATTGCATGCAGTATTACTGAGGCTGAGGCAATACTTATAAAACCTCCAGGTATCAATGTGTCTGCCTCTCCTAAATACTGGGGGAGGGGTAATGCAGCATCCTCAGAGCCAAGAAATGTGCTGATATTCACCGGAGGAGGTCAGCTTTCACTTTCTCAGGTCAGCTTAAGACTTAGCCCCTGCCACCCCCTGCCACCCCCTGCCCCATGTCAGGTGGGCTTTGCGACTGGCTTTCAGCAGTAGAATATGGATAGAAGTGATAGCTTGCAGGTTCTGAACTTAAGACCTCAACAGGCTTCGTGTTTCTGCACCCTCTCCCTGCAACTTCCAATATACAGCAGGAAAAGAACAGGTTCCAGGAGCTGCCAGCTCTCCAGCCCCAGGAGACCCATGGAGCAAGCCCACAGAACTGTTCTGCCCTACGGTACACGCACACACAGCATTACTAGGTAAGATCAAACCATGTGTTAAATAACTCAAACAAATGACACTCCCACCAATAGGGTGTGAATTCAGGCTAATCCACACGCTCACCAATGCTTGCTAATGTTGGACTTAGACATTTCTGTCCATGCAGTAGCTAATATAACAGTATCTAATTTGGGGGTGGGTGGGTTTGTTTTCATCTTTGCTCATTTTCTTAACCATTCACATTGTGAAACCTAACACACATACAGAAAAAGTGCACAAAGCAAACATATTCAGTTCAATGATTTATCATTAACCAAGCACCCATGGGCCCATGGCCATGTTCCTAGAAGGCCTTCCATGCCTCATTCCCTATCATTCCTCCCCCTCGCTGCTCACCACATTCCTTACTTTTTAAATAATCACTTCTAGGCTTCCACCTTGATACATTTACCACTATAGTTTAGTTTCACCTGGTTTTCTAACTTGATATAAATAGAATCATACAATATTTTTAGTATTTGGCTTCTTTCATTCAAAATTATAAGATTCATCTACCTTACTGCATATAAATATAGTTGATCGTGTTCACTGTTGTATATTACATTGCGTGAATATGCTGCCATTTATGTATCTATTCTCTTGCCGATGGACATTTGGATTGTTGCTAATTTTTTCTGCAGTAAGATTAATGCTGCTTTGATATTCTGTACGGTCTGCTGGTACCTACATCTGCATATTTCTTTTGGGTACAAAATACCTATTGATCAGAGCTGCTGGGTCCCTGGGAATGTGCAGCTTTAGCAGAGAATACAAAGTCACTTTCCAAAGTGGCCATTCCCATTTACACACTCACCAGCATCGTTTGGCGGCTCCCATGACTCCACATCCTGGCTTGGGCTTGTTTTAGTCTTTTTAATTTTAGCCAAGAAAGTACCGGAAGAGGTACTTCCTCCCTGGAATGAGGGAGTAAGCCAAGGAAAAAAGAGAAGATGGGATCTAACACAGAAAAGAGAAAGAGGAAGTTCTAAGAAAATGAGAAAAGGATGTCCTCGCATGGTAAATACATAGACTGCCTATAGGCTGACTTGTCCAGACTGAAGCAGGAAACAGAGGCTCAATGGAAACGTCTCTAAGAAAATGAAGCTGACAGAAAGCTTGACGGGTGGGATTGTATTCAGAGGAGATTTTCAGTTCTCCTGGGAAGTTTGAGAGTAAATTAGAAACAGAGACACTAAACAAATAATAAAATAAAACAATTTTAACTCAGCATAAAAGACAAAACATATATAGTCCATGGTTTTGTTACATATGTGGCTTGCAAATATTTTCTCACAGTCTATAGTTAATCTTTTTATCCTCTCAAAAGGATCATTCATAGAGTAAAGTTTTAAATTTTGATGAAGTCCAACTCATGTATTTTTGCTCCTACACTTTTGGTGTTGATCTAAGAACTCTGCCTAGTCCTAGATCTTTCTCCTATGTTTTTTCTAAATGTTTTGTAATTTTAATTTTACATTTGATTGCATGACCCATTTTCAGTCACTTTTAGTGTAAGATATGAGACTTGGGATGAGGTTGATTATTTTTGCCTATAGATGTCCAATTGTTCCAACATTTGTTGAAAAAGCTATCTTTTCTTTGCTGAATTCCTTTTGACTTTTGTCAAAAATTAGTTGGGCATATTTGTGTGTCTATATC